TTATTAGTGTTTACAGTTTTATTCTTCACGTTGTATGCAATGTAAAGGAGAGAAGCATGATATGCGTCTCCGTGTCTTGTAAAATAGTTGGGATTATTGTTGTTGAGGGATCATTATATGCTGGTGAATCGTCAAGTATCATGAGCTATATTACTTAAATAGAACCAAAGAGTTCCACAAATATTTAGTTTTTCTGTACTTAAAACATTTGTAAGGTAGAGCTTTCAATATTAAAAGATCAATCCTAGCACCATTGCCATAACAGAACACTGTAGTGTTTATGGGACCAGGAGTGCTGTGGCCCCTGCCAATTAAAATAGTTATACCATTTGGTACCTGGACTCTGCTCTGCACCACTCCTTGCTTCTATGAAAACCAGAAGCTCTCTTCCTGTACTAGGCCCGGCAGTCCATTGACCACTGTTGCTCTCATCCAGTAAGCTCGTGATCTCCTAACATGAGCTTCTGCCCCTCACATTTGGCTGCAAAGAGGCAGAGAGGGATCCCCTGTGGAACCCAGGTAAAAAGTCAATCCATTGGCAAGTAACTTGAGTATTTACATTGGGAGGAGGTCAGGGCACTCCTGGCACGATACTTACTACAGCATACTATAGTGGTTACGGTGCTTGGAGTGTTTCATTCACAAAGTCATTTTTTTCCCATTACAGACTTGAATGATTCATGTTTTAGTAATACATAGTGGAGGAAGACAAAATTAATTATATGGGAAATGTACATTCCATTACTTTGTGCATAAAATATACTCTGATTGCATTTTTCATGGTGAATAGGTTTGAGCTGACTCCCAACATGTCAGATGTGAATGACATGGACAGTTTATCAAGCGTTTCCAGTCGTTTTTTGGTTTATAGATTTTGGAATTTGCTATTCTTTTAAATGAATAACTCATACCCTATATAATACACAAGCTTGGAAGACTCCATCAACCAAGATTACGTACAAATTGAATTTATTTTTCAGATACAGATCCCAAGTTGTAAGTATGTAATATAAAACTAATATTTCTACTGCATTTTTACAGATAAAAGCTGCAGGCCCCAGTGGAATTAAATGTAAAATGCTAGAAAAAATAAATTAATATCAACATTACTTAGGAAAAAAACAATATCTGTAGGCTTTATACTTCAGTGATTTGATGAAGGCTTTACTGTAAATAGAAAATTAATTTGTACACATGTTTCTTTTGAATAAGTCAATTTCCAATTCATCAAAGGCACACTATTTTTAAATATGACTATTATATTTTTACTTTACATGGTTTCTTTATTGTGCTTATTATGTGGTGACAATTTTTAAATCACGTATTGGTATAAATCAATTTATGTCACTAACAGTGCCAGTATGAGCATAGTTTCTGCAGAACACACGCCAACGTTCTAATGGTTTGTAGATGACATCAATGGGTCATGACTTAACAATAGCATGTCCTGCTGGGGTCATTTGGTGGCCTTGATTTGCTTTACAAATAGATTTTAGAGACATTGCAGAACTTCAAAGGACTTTGGCTAAATAATTGTTGTTATACTCTGCTGTACACATGACCACAGGAACAGGTTGAATTTCAAAGTATTTGACATAAGTAACATTTTGCAGTAATCGGAAAAAATAAATAAATCTTAAATTATATTCCCCTTTTCAGTTTTCATGTAATGACTAGCTCCTTGATGTATTTCATTTCAAAGAGTTAAAATAATAGCAACCTTACTTTAATATATTATTTAAAATATTGTTCGGATTTTTAGTCCCGGAGGACTAAGTCGTAATCCTTATTGTGCAGATTTTTAGTCCTGGAGGACTAAGTCGTAATCTCAAGTGTATATATCTTGCAGGATTATCCTAAGAAAAGCTACTGTTTTAATAACCAAATATTTCTACAACACAAAACTAATGATCCCCAAACCTTACTGAAGCCTTTTTCTGAGCTTAAGTCAGCCAGTCAATTCACTGCATAGAAATGTTTTCATTCTAAGCCATTGTAGTCTAGGATATGTCATCATAATATTATAAAAAATATAATTGTGGGAGACAGACACAGACGTTCTGCCAATTGTTTTATTCCCACAATATAACCACACCACTCATAATTAATAGTATTATTAATCTCCCCTTACAAATAGGATGTGGCATATCAGGAGGGATTTTCAAGTAGAAGACATACTATATAAAAAAAAAAAATATATAAAAAAAATCTAATGGTGAACGCAAACTTTGTTCACGCTCATTGTACAGTGTAATTATTGGCCGGACTTGAATACAGATACTTTTCTTCTGTTTCTTCTATTATGTACACAGAAAGTACAATCACGGGAAACATTCTGACACCGTAGTTATGCTTACCAGACCTTGATTGATATTTTGATGCTTTGTTTGCAAAATTTACACCAGCATTGTAGACCTTTAATTCTGCACTTGAAATTCGGGAGTTTGATTTTTTTCTTATTTACCCAATTTATACAGTTCCTACCTAAAGAACGTATGCATGCAAGGACGGGAAAACCTTTTGAAAATACACAGAATAAAATTTGGTAACATATAACACCAAAAAAAGTGACAGTCAATTTGGAATTCAAACACTGTTCTTTTTGAATTTGGGAAAACACACAAAGAAGAATAGAAATGAAACAATGTTTCTATTTTGTCTTTTCATTTGCAAAATGTGTTCTGGCTTTGACTTGTCTGAACTAGAATATGATGTAATTTGCTAAATATTTAATATACATTTAAAAAAAAAAATGGTGCATCTTATGTGCTATGTGTAGAAAGAGATCAGGACTAGAACCATGCATAATGTACCTGCCACAGATTGTATTCCCTTCAAGGACCAAAACTACAGTGATGAGACTGCATCTAACATGGCTCTCCAAAGGTCACAAATGATAATAGGTCAGTTAGAGAGATCTTTTGATGTCCGGAGGCCAATGGTAAATCTGCTGTTTAAAATAATTAGATTCAATTGTACAATGAAATTACCACACAATGGCTTACAAAAAATTAACAATTCATGGCTCATAGAAGTAAAATGATATAACATACATTTTGTTTGCTGTAGAAGTGTCAGGTTGATTTATGGTTTATTTAGGACCCATAATGTGCACACCGTGTGCAATGGGGAATTACGTACATTACATGCAAATGGGATGTGACGAGTGAAGGAAAAATTGAAATTTTAGTTGGTGAAAGTTCAAATGGATGGTGTTACAGCAAATTAGTAAAATCACAATGTATAAACAATCTTGAAACAGATATTTTTATTGAAAAAAAATAGCGGAGAAAAGCAGACTTTTGCCTTTTATCTTTTGTATAATGATCTTACCATCTCATTATAAATCTTATCATTTTGTATAATAATCCTATTTTAGTGAAGGTAGTACATACCACCAGCAAAAGGATTCTGAGATAGTAATACTGCAATGTAATTCAAAATTCTATATTTCTCCCTGTAAACTTTCCTAATGGTGATCCACCACATTGTTTAAATTAGGAATTAAGAAGGTTCCCATTCAGATGCCTGTTGTTTAATATACATGAAATTTAGTACTTGCATTTTCATACTGATGTAATATTTGATGTAATTTCCGTGAATGAAGCAAGTACAGCCATGGGAAAACGAAAGTACACCCTATTTGAACTCTATGATTTTACATTCCAGGACATAATAACAATCTGTTCCTTAGCAGGTCTTAAAATTGGGTACATTCAACCTCAGATGGACAACAACACACGATATAATACACCGTGTCATGATTTATATAACAAAAATAAAGCCAATATGGAGAAGCCATTTGGGAAAAACTAAGTACACCCTTACTGCTTCCATGGGAATTAAAAGGCGAAGAAGCTATGATCTTAGGGAAGCAATTGTTGCTGCCCACCACACTGGGAAGGGTTATAAGGCCATTTCCAAACAATTTAAAGTCCATCATTCTACAGGGAGAAAGATTATTCAAAAGTGGAAATCATTCAAGACAGTTGCCAATCTTCCCAAAAGTGGAATCCCAGCAAATTCACCCCAAGGTCAGATAGTGCAATGCTCAGAAAAATGGCAAAAAAACCCCAAGTGTTACATCTCAGAATCTAAAGGCCTCAATTAGCATGTTAAATGTGAGAGTTCATGATAGTACAATTAGAAAACAAGTATGGTTTGTTTGGAAGGGTTGCCAGGGGAAAAAATGTTTTTTTCTAAATAGAACATGGCAGCACGGCTTAGGTTTGCAAAGTTGCATCTGAACAAACCACAAGACTTCTGGGACAATGCCGTTTGGGCAGACGAGAACAAAGTTGAGATGTTTGGCCATAATGCACAGTGCCACATTTGGTGAAAACCAAATACAGCATCTCAGCACAAACACCTCATACTGTCAAGCAAGGTGGTGGAGGGGTGATAATTTTGGCTTGTTTTGCAGCCACAGGACCTGGGAACCTTGCAGTTATTGAGTTGACCATGAACTATTCTGTATACCAAAGCATTCTGGAGTCAGATCTGTCTGATAGCTCAAGCTTGGCCGAAATTGGATCATGCATCCGGACAATGATCCCCAGCACACAAGCACATCTGCCAACAGAATGGCTGAAAAACCGAGTCAAAGTATAAACCTCAACCAGATTGAAATGCCGTGGTGAAACCTGTTGTGCATAAACGAATGCCAGCAAACCTCAATGAACTGAAGTAAATGTTGTAAAGAAGAGTGGGACAAATTTCCTCCACAATGATGTGAGAGACTGATAAAGTTATGCAGAAAACAATTACTTCAAGTCATTGCTGGCAAAAGTGGTTCTACAAACTTTTTAATCATGAAGTATAATTAGTTATTCACACATGGCTTCTCCATTTTGGTGTTATTTTTGTTAAATAAATCATGACACGGTATATGTCATGTGGTGTTCTGTAATTACTATGGAACAGATGATTATTATTGTGTCCGGAAATGCAAACCAGAGAATTCAAAGAGAGTGTAGTCATTAGAAAAAAAATTTAGTTTTCAACATCAACACAAAGTTCTTTGCTGGAACAGAAGATGGAGAGCTGATCTACACAGACTGGAAAATGGAGAAAGATGGTGACACCGGGAAATTAATTAGCTCCAAGCCCTTGCAGGCATATAGCGTACATGATGGCGCAGTGGACACAGTGCAACGGTCTCCATTCATTCAGGACATTGTTCTCACAGTCGGAGGATGGAGTTTGGCGATCTGGAAAGAAGGCGTAAATAGTGGTCCTATTCTGCAGTCCTCCTGCTTGCAGAGGAGATACACAGCGGCCCACTGGTCTCTGTCGAGAGCTGGACTTTTCTTTGTTGGCACAGAAGATGGCAATGTTGACATCTGGGATCTTTTGGAGAAAACCCATGAACCGTGCCAGACACAGAACATATCTACAGCTATGATTACATCCATTAAGCCATGGATTGTCTCTGCCAAGCAGCATTTCCTGGCTGTCGGTGATGACCTCGGGACTCTACACATATTAGAAATCCCATGGACTCTGCACCATCCCTCTGCCAATGAGATTTCCACCATCCAAAGTTACTGTGATCGAGAAGTCAAACACCTCGAATACTCAGAGCAGCGAAAAGAGGGAAGGAAACTCGTAAAGACACCAGTGGAAGTGTCTCCAGCCAGCAAGCTCAATGTAACAATCCCACATGTAACACCCAAGGAGCAGATTGAAGAGGAATCCAGACGGCAATACGCAGCTTATTTGGAAACTGAAAACACCGTCCTGACTGCTATTGGATAGATCAGTGAAGATAAAAACAAGCCGGCGTAATTCTGTGCAAAATGTACACAAAGTATCAGCAAATCCGAGACAAATTTACCATGCGGTGCCTAACAATAACTCTTAGCCATACTGAACTGTTAAAGCAATTCCTGGATTTTGAGATAAATTTATTCAAAACTTTACAAATGTACTTTGAGGGACAGGGTCTGTATCTTTCATTAGAGGTGATTTACATGTCCTGCAGCATGGTGCAATAATATAGATATAATAAACGTAGTTATTAAGTAAATTTATTCTTTCAGCAAACCTAAAAAAAAAAAAAAATTTAGTTTTCCATGACTGTATGTTATCAACTATCAACTGTAAAAAGAGGAGACACTGGGTGCCCCTAAGTTCCTAACTAATCCCAGCTGCCCGCAATGTCAGTGTGATTAATAAAGGTGCTGTTCTTGGCATAGGGCTATTTAGTCTCTCCAGCACCATAAATATTGAAGGAGGTTTGTTGGTCACACCATTTGATTAGGTGTAAAGTTCATGTTTATTAATATTTATTGCAATCATATGGAAACTGGTGTGCCAGAGACTGATTATTCTTTATGAATGTATCAGCGAGTTTATGTAATGAAGCATTTACATATAATGATGGTTTGTTTGTAGCTTTTTTTTTTTATTAATTATTAGCAAACGGCATTATTTATTATCTTGTCAACCACCCTGAGCTTCTCCAAACTTGATTTCAAACGGATTTAACTGCAAAGCTCCATACGGGGAAACTCACTTGAGTACATCGAGTAGGTACTCAATTGACCACTCCACACACCTTGAAACCTCAATGCAGTTGTTATGGTGCCTGGAGGTCCTGGGTGCTGTCTTACCTTAAGGGATTAAACTGTTTATGAATTGTTTAACCCTAAAGTTGTCCAGTATCCATTAACCATTTCTGATTATTGATGAATCTCACTATCACACATTTTTAAGATAGTTATTATTGTATGCGGCAACTGTTTGTTTATGTAGACAGATATATATTTAACTGTCTTTTGAATTCATTATATACTGCTGAATATATTACTGATACAAATAATATAATGATGCAATGATCTAATTGTATTATCGTTGTTATTATTATTATTGTATAATTCAAATGTTTACTTATGTATACAGATATGTATTTTACTTTCATTTTTTTAATTTATTTTTATAATACTAAATATATTGTTGTAAAGTCTAAAAAAAATCAAAAAGAAGTTTCAATAAAAATATATATATTTTAAAAGATAGTATTTAATATTATCTAATTGTATCTTTAATGTGTTGTGATCATCTGCAATAGTCTATGCAACAGCATATAGTATTTATGAAGGCAAGTGTATCTATATCTGTAACCGTCCATCGGTTTGTGTCTTTTTTAAATAAGAAATAAAATATTTCCAATTAACCTGGGGCACAAAGGAACAGAGCATTATGAGGCAGTTATATACTTTTTTTTTTTTTTGCACAGTAGGAAGTCGAACATTTTAGTCTGTAAGTCACAGGAGTTGACTGTCTGCTGACATCACACGTTGACATCAGTGACTGCCATTGAGGGTTTAGAAATTGTAATGCAATTCCAAGATGGCCACCTCCACCTAAAAACACTGACAAAACTTCAAGTGGAAATTTCAGTTAAAATTCCTATAGCTAGTTTAGAAGAAACTATTATTCAATTTGCATTATTGTTTTAGACTGATTTATGAAAATACATTTTCAGCTGACCGTGCCACTTTAAGGCTGCATATCATTGATCTTATTAAATTCCTGACATCCCCCTTAGTTGATGTTATCCCCTAGATAAAAACATGCATATCTGTGAAAGGATGAAACATTGCAGTTTCATGTGTGCAAGCCTGTATAACTCATCAGGCCTTCATAATGCATTCACTATCTAAAAGGCACCATGTTCATTTTATAAAGTAATTTCCAATTATAGGATGCTGTATTGCATATTATACATTTTAGATAATAGTCTTATTTTAAGAGTATGGAATCAAGTTACACTTTTTAATCTTCCATACTTTCTATATTATTCAGAAAATAAAGTGTTCTTGAAAAATGCAAACCCAATAAAGTTAATGCATAAAGTGATTGATTTAAAAAATAAACCATCCCAGCCACAAGATGGCATAATGAACACTCCATTGAGTTAGACACATTGCTCTTATTGCCCTAACCTTCTTATAAAGGAAGGATAAGCTTTTCTTAAACGGGCAGTCATAATTTATTTAATATAGTTGGACTACTACAGTGTAAAACTAAAGAAAATATTTGATTTCCAATTGTACCAATATTCTTATTTTATCTGCTCATCTACATCTCACCTGTATATGGGTTCCACCACGTCCATTTTGAATTTGAGTGGGGGTAGGGGTTTGGTAAAGCACATCCATTTTTACTGGCTACCCAAAACCATTAAAGGAAATCTGTGCTGTCAGGAATACACATCTGTATTCCTAATGTAGAATTGTGTCCCTACTTTTTAGTTTTAGTGCCACCTGCCCCCTCCTCGCCCCCCCCCCTCCCCCTCCTTCTCGCCCCAGGGCCTGCAAAAATTGAATTTTTTTTAAAAAAAGCATTAAAATGAAAATAAGTTTATTTACTCACCATCAATCCAGCACAAAGTCTCCCTCTATGCTCCAGTTGACATCCCCTAGTGTCATGTCATCCTTAGGTCCAATGGAATGCTCCTCATAGAAGAGCATTGCGACTGTAGGTAACACATGAAATGCCAAAGTTAGCTTTGACATTCTATAGATGCAAATCTGTATCTGACATCTGACATGCCTATCTCTGCTTCACGTGCATTGCACACAGTCCCTCTGTGCCTCTTAACCAACAGGACCTATAGACAGGGACCCCTGGTACTCTAGATGAGCTTACTATATTAGATAATAGTCGGTATATTATATATTATGGGTTTTGATGTTCTACAGAATAGTTTTTTGTTTTAAATAAATATCACCTATTAGTCAGACCTAGAAGATTAACCTAGCTAAAAACAGTGTTTTGTTTTTGGGTGAAGTAATTCTTGGTAGCATGATCACCCCTGTTTAAAATATAGATATAAAGCAAAAACTTACCTGGGATCTCATGCTGAGTTCCAAGTTCTCTCTGCAGCCTAATGCTCCTCTTGTGACTATCCCATAATAAAGGGATAGGGACATCATGGTGGAAGCACTGAGGGGAAACTTGAGCTACAAATGGGGGTGGGGAGGTGGTGGGGAGGTGGTGGGGAGGTGGTGGGAAGGTGCCATTAGTTGTCTGTTTCAGGATGCTATGCATGTTGAAGACAGATGCCCAATATGCACAGAATTCACACTGGCCAGCCAAGTACTGTCTAATGATGCAAAGCGCATTTTTTCATACTAAAATGAGGCACAGATGTCAAGCACCATGACCACTTCAAGTTAGTGAAGTGGTCCTGGTGCTTGGAGTAACACTGTATTAACACAAGCATGTTGATTTATGAAACAAACTATATCTATTCGATATCAATAGTCCTTTAGTGATCAGTGTTTATGCTAGCCTGGCATTGAAAAATCTATTTTTATTTTCTTAAGAAAAAACTAAATGTCAGGTCTCTCACAATGACATAAAATTAACTGGTCCTGAATACTTTAAAATTACATTGTTGAAAGGAATATAAACTTGGGAAGTAGAAAATCAATATGTTTGCTTTATAAAGAAGCTTGTTGTGATAATTTTTTGAGAACCTCAGGAATGCTTCAGTGTTAAAGTAAACTTTAAAACCAGTTAATACGGTTTGTCATGCAACTAAAGACAGCAATGCCCAAGATGCTTGCCAGCCTGTTATGTACCCTAAGGGACACATCAATATTTCCTGCTGCCTTAAGTCACATCAATGATCTAACTAATCTCAATATATTTTTTCTGTTTAACAAATGCCAGAACTGATTGAAATGTTGCTTTGGTTTAAGGTTATGATAAAGAAGGTTTGCTGGGGATCTCAAAGGGACAGTTCTGGACCACTTCACCCTGCTCCAAATTTAACATTTAGCTGCCATTACAACCTCATTTCTTTCTCATATATTTCCCCTTCATTCCCATTCTTTTCTGTATAATCTCCCTCCATCTTTCTACATTACCATATATTTCTCCATCACCTTCCTCAATATGCCAATTTTCATATTTCTCCCACCCTGTCCAACTCTCCATCATCTCCTGGCTCTGTATTACCTATCTCCCGCCTTCTTCCCAGTCCAAAACCCTAAGTCCCATGTTTCCTCTATCATGCCTCTTTCCCCATGTGCCACTCGCGAGCTAAACAATCTGCTTCCTACCTTGGTGATGGAGTTTTTGTATCTAATCAAGCCATGTGACTGGTATCATTTCAAAAAAATATCCCCTCATGGCTAGTGCTGCTGTTTTAAGTTAGTGGTGCTGGAAGTCTCCCTTCCCTCACTACTGAAATGTCCAATTACAGGACTTGGGGAGGAGCTCTGTGTAATTTGCAAGGTTACAAACTTAAAAAGCTACTATAGCGCCTGATTCGGCCTTTATGTCTTCATGATCTCAGCCAATCCCATTGAAAAGCATCGGGAGACTATTGAGCATGTGCGTTCTGGTGACTATAGTGTCCCTTTAAATCAGGTTATAACCAGATACTATAGATTCCGAGAATGCAGGAAACCAATCAGTGTTGAGATACAATGAGTTTGAGTGTTGCCATAGTGATGGTTGGTTAAGTCAAAATACAAAGGTTATAAGCAGTAAAGTCAATTTAACTTATAGAAGGTCATGGAAGCAGGCCTCAGGCACAGATTCCATATGAAGTGTCATTTAAATGGCAGTTGAGACAAGTGATGTGTGGACAAAAGAAAAGCCCCTTTAATACACCGATAAACAGAGACTGTAAGTAGAGAATGCCGACAGAGCAACAATAGTTCAGATGTTTAAAGTAATTGTGGAAGGCACACATTGTTATAATTGAAAAGAGGCTTTATGTATAGCTGGGATTTAGCTGTAAGGCATGGCAAAACACAAACTGAGATACTTCTCTGTGCAACAGCAATGAAAATAATCAAGACCATTAATCTCAGCATCTTAAATGTGTTTCTATCTGTTATCAGTAAAAATAGTATTTTTGGATCATTTTTTGTAAATTATGTTTCTCTGCTATGTAAATTAATAACTAGAATAACAACTGTAGTACTACAGGCTGTGATTATGAGTTTGTTTGTTTTTTTCATTCTAAACTATTTATTCACTAAATTAATTATAGGTATTAAAACCAAAACAAAAATTTAGACTAAAATAG